AATAGAATTTTTGCCGGAAGGCTAATTTAACAACGCCATCGGTATTGTATGTGCAACTAATAACGTAACCCTTCTCAATTAAGTTAGCAGGGGATTAATGTAGACCTCCTGACCCCAAAAACGGCTATCGAATTAGCATCCCTCTCCTACATGTGTTTTAAAAAACGGATTACCGGTAATTGTAGAAATTAATAACGCATTGCAAATGTGGTATTAATTTCGGCGAGTCGCAAATATATTGGCCAAGGGTTTTGAAACGGAGGCGGTGTAAGCCTACTTTGGGTAAACAGCATGAGTAATTCAAATGATGCTTTCCTTCGAGTTTCAGACAACCCTAAAGCGTCGTTTGAACATAGTTATTAAGATCGTCTCTCTCACTTGCCCCGGTTTTGTGAAACTCGAGCAGTGGATGGCGGTTAGTATGCGAATTTGAGGAAAATCGACTGTAAATTGAATGCACGTTAATGTGCTTACGTATCGATTACACAACCCTCGTCCGAAATCTCAAGATTGAGTTCTGTTATATAAACTAAATACAAACCGCACATCTGACAAATTTCAACCGAACACAAATGGTCTAAGACCTTTCTTTTTATAATCGGCGAATTTGTGCTCTGCCTCTAACTTTACGTTGAAAAACTGGACGTAATATTTTAGTTAGACTTTTCCTTCCACTTCCGATGATATTCCCTATCTTCAACTTTATGACCATACACAAAACTTTATCTCTCATATCCCTTACGAATCCCACTTGCTTTCAGATTTAAGGCGCTTATAAAAAGTAAGAGGACAAGCAAATATGCCCGGGTCAATACAACAGAGCAAAATTATACATTTTCCATCATCCCTTCGATTTTAGATGTCATCTATTAATTAATTATCCCCATACCGACGCATCGGGTTATAACAAATAGGAGTTTCAAAACTGATCAATATAAACTACGTTATACGTAAACCTTTGTGGAAGGTTAATGGAGCAGGTGACAATAACGAGCTTCAAATGTACCACTTTCATCAATCATTTGAGAAATAAAATCGCTCGATTTAGTTCATATTCAAATAAAAAGTGCTCACATAATACCGATTCGACAATATATTAAAAAGAACGCAACCTACAAATAGAAACACAACTCGGAATTTATTTTTCTTCAAAAGTTAATGAAGCGCGAAAGGTAATTTCCGGTAGGTTTGCCCCTTCGAACCCGACTTCCACGATTAATTTCCACCAAAATGGTGAAAATGAAAATTTTACAAGCAATTTCGACTATCTATTTGTGAACGCTCACATTTAATTAACTTGTTTAGGTACACGAGATCGTGTGTTTCCAGGATCAAAAAACCTAACCGCTGTACTAATGTCGGTAGACGGTAAGAGGAATTCATCTAAACTATTTTCAAGTTGATGGTTTATTTTGAATGAACCAAAGAATCAAGATGTTGTCGTGCAACCGTCAATAGTAACGAACGTGCTTGTTAAAAAGCAACACGTCGATACCATGAAGCCGTCCGTTATAAGCGCCTTCGTCGAAGCTGTCGTTAAAACAGCCGCAATACGTTGCCGCTTCAACGAAAGCAACAACGCCATCGTAACTATATCCATTTCTAGTATTGTGTCGTTGTACTGGTCGCCATCCAGATTTAGAATAAATTACTTCATTTTTATTTTTTAATAATAAATTAAGCTCCCATGTTGTTGGCCGCGTAAAATTGGCACATGGGAAATATACCTTCTTCAAAATTCAATAATGTACCAAACCTCGTTTTCATTGTATCTCTGCTGTTATCGGAAAATTCGGTTACAAAAAACCCCTGCCAACTTCACGTGAGCACCGAAAAGATTTCCTGATAGATAATCAAGAACTTGTTTGCAGTTGGATTACCAACTAATGACGTAAAGCTCATGTTTGGTTTAAACTACTGTAGTATACAAGCGAAAGGCTATAAGCGCTAGTTGGAACAGGTTTAGCCGTATTCAAAAGTTTTATTTTCAAATTTGAATATTGTTCAACGTAGGATAATTTACACATACCGCTTCATAGCGTACGTGAACGAAAGATAAAAAGTTAGCGAGACCGAGTTCTAAAGGGGGTTTTCGGCAGACGAGGGTTGATTTTCAGAGTTACCACGTATTATTGGTGTGTGACAATTTTATTTTCGCATAATTCCGATAATTTTGAGCTGATTCTCGCGAGCGAGCACGTACCAATTTGGCACGCGAATTATTATTCTTGGTTTATTTAACGTCAATACAAAAGCTTATCATTTAACTTCAGAAAATTCAGAAGCGATCACGTATAAATATAAATAAAAATTAAAAATGAGCCACCCAACAGACACCTATATAGCTAGCTCAAAATGCCATTATTTGCTTAACATTTTTTTAAAATGCCTCTCAGGGCATAACTGGGTTCCGACACACACAAACCTGAAAACTAATTATTCCCAGTGTTATTAAAAATTAACAAACACCATAATTTAGTTTATGTACCATTGGTAAGCTCTCATTAAAATTTCGTGGCTCTCTGTTAAACGGATCCAGAGTAAAAAAAATAAATAGTGAAGCCGCGCACAGATTTTCTATAAGCCGTAATGTATTTAATGCGTCCCAAACCGACTACTATGGTCACGTGACTTTTTCGACTTTATCAAAAACGGGACACTGAGTATGTCTTTTTAACTACGGAACCGCATGTGTCAGTTTCAAACGTAATCGGCGAAAACGTGCTCTTAATAAATTTAAGGTAACATTGACATAAGCTTCTTATAATCGACCCGCAAACAGCATTACGGCGAAACCGGCGACTTAGCCCAATCACTCTCGTTTATTCCTTGTTCTTCGTATTTAATGGTTAAGCCACATCTGTTCAATCTCGCACACGGCGTTGTTAGTAAATAAATCCAATTAATTTTTCCGATATCAAAACATCTGGCCAGATTTTTATTTTACGTCGACATTACATTGCATAAACCGGAAATTACGTTGACAGCAAATAAATTTTTTCACTACATGGTGGCCCGCTCTCATGTTCGGGATTATTTCAACCTAGAGAAACGACAACACAATAATATCGATGTGTGCAGAATTTGACGTTACGAGAAATATCCTCGCGTACTTATGTGTGAAGATTTGCGTGTAAAAACATATGAAGTAGCGAAATGTTGAGTACGTCGTTGAGAATCATTTAAATAAAGTCAAAGTGTTACCTGCAATTTTAAACGTGCGAGAAGGGAGGAATTACAGTCAAGCCCGGGACGTGGTATAACATTTTAGCAGCCTGATTCGTAGCAAGCCTGTTTATTACGAGGGAACATTTTCGAATCGGAGAACCGCAGTTCAAATAAAAATGGGATTAAATAAATTGACATTAAAACTCACTGTGATAGCTAAGAACTTTTTTTTGGATCGTGGACAATAAGTCAGTAACGGCTGGTTAAAAACAAGTTGCTCAAAATTGAGCGACGTCATTCAGCATAGAGCATACGGCAGGAAATTTAAAGACAATTAATCGGTGCATTTACCCGCAACAAAACCTAGTTAATAAATTGGGAAAAATTAATATCAAGACAGCGGAACATTGGTATTTTATTCCTGGGCATCCTCACGATGTCGAGTATTATTTTCGCAAAATTTAAGTTGGTATTTGTCATACGTAAGGACATTTTTTCATTCATTCGTCACGAAGATAACGTAAGCGGAGTGATGCAGAAAGTCAACTGTACTATCGAAGCGACCTGTGTCCATATTTCTAAAAGAAAGCGGCATTTTCCAAGAAGATTAATTGTTACATTTATTTTATTTGCATGTGGTCGAGTGGTTTTTCGAAATTTGCATTAGTAATTTTGTTTAAGGGAATTTTAATATTCCTAAAGGAATCGACCCGTGAAAATGATTTAAGAATCGAATCCAAACAAAGGATTTTTGTTTATTTTGTTTCATGAGTGGAAATTGGCATTTAATTTTAGTGATACTATTGCTTTGGTAGGATTAAAATTTTGGTTAGCATTCAGAGGTGGGTGTATGTTTTGAACAAGAATGTAATTTACTATGTAGTAAAAATGAATTTTAAACAAGGACAGTGTATGCGCATTTATTCGAGTTGAATCAAACTCGAGTATTAGATTTTGAATTTCAGATTTTAAGATGGATAACAGGCAAAACCCAGTGCTGTAGAGGTCCAATTTTATGTTATGCAAATGGGTCTTCGATTTATTGGTAACAAATACTATGTTGGTAACTCAGGTAACTAAAGTAAAAAAAAATCCGAGAACCGCGAAGGTACATTGGAAACGAATTTTGGTACATTAAATTGAGAACCAAGTACATTGGTTCATTTTTGAGACGACAGTTATTCACAACCGACATGATCCATTGTACACTATTTCCTATGTAAAGCAGATTCTAACATGGTTTTACCTTGCACTCTCAATATTTTTCTATTTTGATTCTGGTTGCAAACGTGTAATTTGACGTGCGAACATTTTCTATCCAGAACTTTGCAAGGCAATTTGCAGTATCCACGCGATGTGAGCTGAGCGAGTCGATTTCTCACACAAGTTTTTTTTAACTTCCCTCCCTTAATCTCCCCACAAAACAGCTAATACGTGTTATAAATTTTAAACATAACATAATTTTTCCACGTTTAACTCGATTCGTTCAGTTTCGGAAAAGCCTCGTTGAAACTTTCCAGCTATTTTCCAAGTGCGTTTATTTTAAGAACATTTTAAAACACTCGAGTAGTCTGCTAATAGACTTCTAGTGTTTAATTTTTGCGAAATTCGAGTTTCCAATTACTCGAAGAACACCCACTCCATCTAGCAATTCCTCAATAAACGAGAAGATTGAATAAACTAGGAATGTTATCGCATTCAATTAAATTAGTGACAAAGGGTAATAAAATCTAATTACGACCGGGTCTCTGACGAAATCTGGAGTAATTACCTTAAGGACAATTTTTACTACTCCGCGTATTACTACTTAAAATCTAAATTAAGAAATTATGTTGAGGACGAGTCACGTACGCCCGTTGTACATTTAACGCTCGATTATTTTTTTTCTTCATTTAAAACGTGAGAGCACGTGTTAAGTGGGCTATTTTTAATTATCGCCGAAGTTTATGTGATTCGAGAATGTTCCTTTTTGTGCCACTTTAAGGGAAAAAAACGGGTAAAAGGCGTAAAGTAAATGGGCCCATTCATCTTACAACGCATAGACTGCTGCAAAAAAATAAGGGATCGGCATTGCGTTTCTATGGCTTCATGAAATACGATTTGGATTTTATAGCCTCTCCAGTTGGATAAGTGTTGCTTCGTATTTGATTGCAATGCTCTGCGGCCGGGTAACCAAAAAGGGAAGAAGTAATAAACTTTTACCTTAAGTGCTCTTTTCAAATCTCGCATTTCAGATAATTCAGTAGAATTTTGTGATTTAGCTTTAAACTGCCATCGACGACGCCTGAAAATTTGAATTAAGATCGGGAAGAGATATGCGGACCGCAGCTTCAAATTTGGAAAACTAATTGCTACCGTAGTCGTCTAGATATTTACCTCCCTTGTATTCATTTGCAGTTTACCCGGAAGTTGGTGAGATCGACATCGATGATTGTGTGAGGAGTATATTAGGGTTTCAATAATATTTATTAGGTTAGATTCCTTTCAGCTACAACCCCCTCCAATACAAAAATTCAAAAAATTGCAGTATTCGTTTGTTCGCTCCCCTACACCACCCACGCAGGAAATGTTTCTCGGTGTACTACAAACGCCCCTCCACCCCACTTCAAATGAAGAAATTGCGTGTATTAAACCACATGTGCAAGTGCTAATATTGTGCCGTAATATATCTATGGACCATTCTTTTCAGATACTACCAAACTCATTAATTTTTTGTGCAACATCAAATTTGGGGTTTTATTCTAGAGTGAAGATTTTTGTATTGTTTAAAAAAAGTTTGGCCCGTGTGTTTACGAACCCAGTGAATTTTGGCTTCCAAGTTAGTTTGGGCAAGCCAAGTGGCAATTTGTAAAATTATTATTATGTGTATTTTTGCGTGACGTTTTTGTTCTTTTGTGAAGTCATGAGGCGAGTTCCAATACCAATAATGCCCCTTGATAGATAGTAGCTTTTGTTGCTAACATTGTAACTATTTCTATTAAATATATAGATCATGAAAATTATTTGAATTAAACCTTTAACGAGTAAATTTGATGATAACGTTAGTCACATTTTATCGGGTGTTTATGTAGCTATTTATTTACTGGCCGAATGACAATAGAGAATGGGAACATTTCCCGTAAAATTAAACAAATATCTAAATAACGAACGATAATCACAATGCAAATCGAACAAGCGAATAAATTCAAAACTCGGCCGTATATGAAAAGATTTATAAGTTGGGTTGGGGGTGGATGTGTGTACTGAAAACTGTACAGCAAGTAAAGGGTCGGAATGGATAAAGCGAATAATGCGAACGTTTTATAAAACGTTATCTCACAGTAGGTATTTCTTTGGGTGATACCAAATCGATTGAGAGTTATTTCCGCTGAAATATTTATAAGACGAAGAGTACTGAATCACAAAGAATTTTTGTTATTTAAAGTAAAACGACATTGTTATCCAATTTACGGATAGATGCAGTTATAAACGTAGCAAAAGATCTTGGGAATTGGATACGTTCTAACGCTGATGGTTTCTGCGGCAATAAAATTACAAAAGGCTTACATTTCCATTTGGTCAAATAAAATTTTCTCTTTGAACATTAAAGCTGCCGTTTACAACGTCGCAGAAAAAACGCGTATCTTTCCGTTTTATTGTTGATTACGAGTTTATGGGTGGTGACTCTGTGTTTTGCTCAATATACGGGGGCCCGGGGTGGGAGAGGATGTATTTCTCATTTTTTTCAAAATAAGAATTTAACATACCTTTAAGGGCCTGGTTATCGTCACCGTCTCAATCGTGGTCGTAGGTGCCATCACAACCTGAAAATAAAAGGTAATTAACTAATGATCAAAGCCGTAGAAACGCAAACAGTTGTCAACAACAATAAAATTTGTTCCAAAGGAATTTATGCATAAAGGCGGCACGATATTGCTCTATATAGTTAATAACACACGAAATGACAGATTTCATAAAATGTAAATTTCATTTTGAATTACAAACGTTGCGAAAAATGTGTACTGTGCATTGAGGAGTGCTTTATTCATTGTAATATGTTTTTTCTCGGAAATATGCAGCGCAAAAGAGCTTGAGTTAAACATTTCTCTTTGCAAAAACATAATTGGAAAGTGCACGGTTTCCAGATCCCAACGAATTTGACTCTAAGTAGTCAATAATTACAATCGCCTTATAAGGAAATATATCAACTATTCTTTCTATTACTGGAAATTTCTCCTTTCCAAATTCCTGAAAATTGACTTCAAAATCTGCTTTTTAAACTACTTGCGCGCGAACAATGAAATACAAGATGAACGTAAAGTTTGGATACATTGACGAAAGTTAAATAAAAAAGTGGTTCCAATTTGCACATTTTCTTTTTAAAAGTGAGTAACTACCTTCTTTGGTTTCACGAGCAACAAACCACTATACTGACTTTTTTCCTTACACTATTGTAGCTAAAATATACGAGCGCGCCTCGGAGCGCGCTTAATTAGTTTGTCCCTAACCGAGTACAGCTATTAACCTCACCAATAAAAAAATTGGGAGGTTAATGAAAGTACTCCAAATTTTGATGTTGAGATTTCACGGATCTTTACGTTTCGAGATCTGAGGAGTCCAAAACAGTGCTTTTTAAAAATATCTGTGCGTACGGCATGATTCTGCTAAACAAGGTTTAACCGAAACTACCGCTGTTAGATTAATGTACCGGGGAACTGACACGTCAGCGAAATCTGCACCCAGCGGATGAACTGGTGCGCCCTGACGGCTGATGGCGGGAGTACGCAAGAACAGTTGACAGGTTAAAACTCTCGGATGATGTTATAAAGCCACCGCGCATGCGCGCTATTGCGTTGTAGTTTTCGTTTTTACGACAAATGGCGAGGGTGCGCGATATTGGGTGACGTCACAGCGTTTACGACGAATGGCATACGTGACGTTCCCCAATTGTTCCCTTACAATCTGAAATCCATTAAGAAATCCATGCTCTACAGAAATCAAATGATGCAGAAAAGACTATCTTCATTTCCACTACTGCTCGCGTATTTATTTTTCCAATACCACTACCAAACCATTTATTAGTCCTCTGAATTTCGACAACCTGTATAAATTTTCTATTATATGCAATCCATAAACTACATAACTGCTAAACTTCACAACGAAATTTCGAAAATATTTAAATGCAAATTTAGAGCTACCGTTACAAACCAACCATCAAACCTTAGAGATCTTAGAGATTTGTCTGAGAATCCATATAAAATCTTCTTAGAATCCCATTTGTATTACCTCCATAAAATCATCGTTTGAGTATTTTTTGAACCTTCTCAAAAAAACAAAACAAAATATTTTTGAATGATTTACATTTCGAAAAATAATATGTTCGAATCAAAACATCGATAACATAAACAGACCTATTGCTGCGTAAACTATGTCGGTTTAGGTCCAGTCAATTACTAATCAAATGTTCATCACAATTACAATTACGGTTAAACACAAAACGATTTTGCGTATCTAGCCTGTACCTAAGGTGTTTGTTTCGTTGAAAAAAAGATTAGTTCCTAGAATTATTAAGGATAGGAAAATTTTTATTTCAATTTTGTTTTCAATTTGTTTTGTTAATTCATTTGTGACAGTTCACATTCGATTTATTAGGTTTTCGTTTATTTTTATAAAAGATTAATGTAATTATCTAGAGATAAGGATGCCTTTTAATTGAAAAAACATTTTGTTTATATTATATATTATGCATTTTAGATAACATAATTCAGCGTAAAGTTTGCGTACGTGACTGTTGAAAGCGCCCTGTAGCAAGGTGTTGATTGGTTTGTCGAGTTGCCAGGTGTCGATAATTGTATAAGAAGTTTCGATTTGTTTAAGGAGGTTAAGTCCGGATGCGGAAGTTTAGACGGGGCCTTTTTACCAATTACGAGGTTTTGCTTCATTGTGCCGGTATACGGATGTGTACTGGGAGAGATTTAATTAGAGTGCTAAGGTTGAGGTGTTCTGTGCACGATTCATTTTGGCCGAGTTATTACACACAGCACATTTATTTGCTCGCCCAACGTGGGGCATTGCATTTATTTTTGTATGTAGCCCGAAGTTAAAGGGCCACAGCACTATATACATAACGATTTTTAATAGAAGCGACACCTTTCGTAAGAGTAAAAGCACCGATGTAATAAATTTCGAATGTGACGGTTTAAGAACTCGCGCGAGTGCGATGATCTTATCACCTTGTTTTTTAATCAAAATAAACCCTACAAAAACAAGCTATATTTATCTTTACCGACGTAAATAATAAAGTTAGCCGAGAAAGTTGCAACTGAGCACGTAATAACAACAAGTTACGCTCGAATTTTGAGTAGGTAATTAACACAAACATAACATAAATAGCGAAAATATAAACACGAACATAAAACGTTACATTACATGTTTTCAGCGTGAAACAATATACTTACGTTTATAAATAGGTCAATCAGATAACTATTCAGCCCTTAAAATACCACAGTATTAAATTAAAAAAAAAAGAATCAATAGCGAAGAACAAAAGGATAATGCAATTGTAAGCGTGGGTTTCGAACAACAGAAATCCAAAAATTCAAATTTAAAGGTAACATGCGAAAACCGAACTGTCACAAAGTTGTTCGCGTAACTTCACATCGCAAAATATGTCAGAACACGAATGTTTTGCTACGGTTTAGTTAAAAAATAATTTAATTTAGAAACAAAAAAGTTTAAACGAGTAAACGTCACCGCCGCTTATACAAAGACGATAGAAGCCGCGTTGGGCCTTCAGACGAACTCAATTGAATTTGACCACATTTATTAAATTTGAACCCGCCTGTATACTTTCGTAAACGAACCAATCAACGAGACTAGAGAACAGAATTGATTACTCAATTCTACACGTGGAGCTAGATTTTTAAACCGAAAAAGTTTGTGTGATAGTTGATCGGACGAACACAACAAAGCAACCCCATTTCGAGCTCTTTAGGCGGTAGACAGGAAGTTCTTTGAGTTGACTTCAAAACTTAATCGTATTGTGAGTATGCGACAATTTTCGTCGGACTATCCCCGTAATTACACTACACAATTGTCATATAGGGGGACTATAGACTTGCCAATGAGGGTTGGGATTCCTTTGAGTGGTTCCGAACGCCACGCGCGTCACTCTGAAACTTTTATTGTGCCAGACAGAATCCCAAACTATTTGCGAAATTACTCCACCCCTCACTTATTTTGGAGAGGGTGGCGAGCGTGGCGGAAAGAATCGTTCATTAGTAACGACATTTCCACCCATGCCCAAGCAATCGCGATAGGAAATGATAATGCAAAACTGATATCGGAAAGCTTCGTCGAGCTAATTACCGACAGGAAATTCAAATAACCCAAAAAAGTAGAAAAAGTAATTTATTTGGTAGACACGACGTAATTGTATATAAATTAAATTTTCTAGTTTTCATTGGACTGGATTGAAAGGTTTCATTTTTAAATTTAGTCGAGTTTCAAGAAAGTAAATGCTGCGTGTATAGAAGGGTGTCAATCTGGAAGCTTTCAATGAGATCCAGTAGTAAACGAAAGTATCGGGTTTCGGAGAACTATGGCAACACCGCCAACCTTCCACCCCCACTCATAAATTAAACAACAAAGAATCGCTTGCCATATATTTATGCAATGGCAGGGGCGCATTAATATAATAATTTTCGGTGTATTCCACAGAGTGGAAAGGGGCGCTGTGTATGAAAAGGTTTAAAGGGCTATAGGAATTGTTTCTATAATTGACGCAGTCTGTCAATTACCACTAATAGACACATTACGTTATTTAAAGCTGATTGATAGATAAATGTGTAAATTAAATATAAATGAGCGATGAGAACCGTGGCCTTTCTGCAGATAAACATGTCAACCCTCTAATTAAAAATTATCACTAATAGTCCAGGCTAAATAGCTCCAAAATAATTTATTTTCAAAAAAAATTAGTTA